CAACATTCAGTTGGGTGGGGACTGATTGTAAAACTATTGAAAGCTTTAATTTTTTTTTGGCTACAATGTATTCCTTGAGCATAATTTGGATATGTATTAATATAATTAATTTATAATTGAATTGAATTTGTATAATTGATTTCGAGTAAACTAAGTCAAAAATAACGTGATTTTCATTTGGATGACAAAAGATATAGACTTCATTTTCATACCGAATGTTGTTTAAAAATTTGTAATTAAAATTGATTTTGAGTGTATAATTATAAATTTGGATATATAAAATTTCAAAATTGATTTTGTTTGATGGAAAAGTTAGTAGTAGTTGATTCCAAATAGATGTGAATTTCCACATCTTGAAATCAATTTTGCTAATAGTCAATTATACTATAAATGTGATTTTGATCATTTTGGATACGACAAAATTGATTCTTTTGACTTAAAATCAAGTATATTCTAAATATGAAAAGTTTGAGAGTCCATTTATACTATAGCATTATGGGTTCTTGGGTCATTGTATATCGTGGTAAAATGTTTGGTCGAGTAAATTTGGATGGGACATTTGTATTCATTGCCTATTACAATTGAGCAAACTGATGTTGATCAAAAGAAGGTTGGGTTGGGGGCTGATCCTTTATTTTCTTGTTGAAAATATCCACTTAGGTATGTTCAGTTCTCTTCGATGATCAGCTTCACAAGATATTAATTTTAGCTAGTATTGCAGATATTAAAAGTTGTTAAATGATTAAAAGGTTGCAAAGTTTCCTTGAAGTTAAAAGTTTGTTTGAGTTGCAAGTCTTCTTGACAAGTTAGAGTGACGGTTGTTTTGTTATGTTCAAGTCATGGTTACCCAAAAGAATACATTTGAAATTTTATAAAAAAAGTGACCACTTAAAGTACATCCAGTGGGAGGTGTTTGTTACATGCTTACTTTCTCGCATTCCCAATCGTTTTGTCGGACACTAACATTTCTACATATTTACAATTTATTCCAGGTTCGACCCACCACAATTTTGTTCGCAATGACATCTAGAACATTTGTTTTGATCGAGTTTAGTAAAGTTTTCTTTTGCTCTTTTGGATAAAATTTTGATTATACTATGCTTTATGACAAAACAGATTAATTCAAACGTATAGCTAATGCATGCAGATGATCTATGTAAACTACTTTTATCAAAATGCATTTTACATTAATAGTATCTATGACTAATTTTATTTGACAGATATAAATATTATAAATTACTTATGAAAGTGTTGAATATTATTAAGGATGGAATATAAATATATAAAAAAAATATTTCAGGAAATAAAAAATAACACGTAACTACAATTATTAGATTATATATTTTTGTGTGAAATTTTGATATGAAACTGTAAATATAATTTAAATCAAACGATATATAAAATGTGTGAGCATGCATAGACAGAGAGACAATTATTTCTGTAGTATTAACATAGAATTTACTCAAATCTAACAAATTATTTTCAAAATGGTTCGCAAACTACCACCTATTTTTTCATGGAGTTATAGCTTTATCCGTCTATTCTCTTTGTTGGTTTAAAATAAAATTACTATCTTTCTTAATTGACAATTCAAAAGGCATACATCTTTCTTTTCCTTACCTTCTTTAGCATGACATTGACAGCCTTGTCCAGCATGTTTCGCTTTTGAATCATCTTTTTCCAATTTCTTGCATAAACTTTTAGAATTGCCTTTTGAATTCATCCTTTTCAGGTTCTTGCATTTAGTTTCAGAATTCACTTTTGAATTCATGGATCTTTTCCATTTCTCAAGAGAAAAAAAAAAAAAAACTAAAAAACTCACGAATGGATTATCACAATGAATCTTATTTACATGAAGTTTCCAATAATTATTCAGGAAACACTACTAAGTCCGCTGAAACAAAGTAAATGTGTTAGCATTTAAGAAAATGTGCTAAGATTTGGAAGAGCATTAAAAAATATATTAAATAGCATAAAAAAATCAGGAGCAATATATAATATTTAAATTCGTGTGAATGGCGTTGCGGAATAACTAGTGACCTCACAGAGAAGGTGAGATAGATAATGTACTCATCACTTTTATTCACCGCGTAGCATTCGTCCATTTCGAAGATTTGGAATTTGAATTTCTCAGATAAAGGGTTGCAAAAATGAAATTCAAGTTTCAAACTACATTTACCTTCTTTTAATAAACCCAACACACGAATTGAGTTTTACTAGCACGGTTGTATTTACTAACTTGAATAGCCAACCCATGGCCCATAAAATGAATTCAATATCTAACCGTTACTATGTCTATGGCAACATAAAATTTATTTTTAATTATTTTGATTTTTTTTAAATGCAAGATAAGTAAATTACTTAAATTCTTAGAGTGAATTTTAATTAACTACTTATTTTCTTTAAAGAAAATAATAATTCACCCCTATATACTAAAATACATAATCTTGATGGAGGGGACTTTTTGATTTTTCATATATTAAGTATCTTATATTTATTTCTTAAATTTCTACTTAGATAAAAAATTAAATACAAATTCTTAAATACGTTTAGTAAATTTCACTAGTAATCCAAAACAAATAAAAATCAGAATTTCAGGTTTGATTGCAATTGCTGAGGTGAATATCAAATTATAATTAAATAATAACATAAAAATTACCTAAAAATGTACTTAAGTTTTATCCTTTTTTCAGTATATTTTTTCAAATACATTACTTAAATTTAATTATTTTCAGTTTAATTTTTTTTGGTTTAAATATATTTGTAATTTTTATAAAATAAACAAGTTTTGATTTTGGTTCTTGTAAAAAAATCTATTTGTTTTTCATCTACGTAGAATTGTTGTTTATATAATTCTTATTATTATGTAATCATTTTTAGTAACTTATTTGTTTATTAAAAAATTAAATGATCATCTCAAGTATTACCTACAAATGTTAATGATATTATATTAATATACAACATCTTTAAAAAAAATTAATTTTTTTTAAAATAAATGTTATTTATCTATCCTAAAATTATCGTCAAAGAATTAGAAATAATGATTTTAGATTTTGGGAAATAAAAATTAAAAAAATCATTTTATAGGAATAAAAAAATCAAAGTTTACTTATTTTATAATGACCAAAAATAATATATATAAATTTTAGAAGGATGAAAAATAAAAAAAATTATTGGATCCAAAATCAAAACTCACTTATTTTACCGGGATTAAAAAGACATTTAAATTTTTATTTTAAAAATTTTAAATCTTATTACACCATTTTAAATTAAAATATATAGAGGTAGTGTGTCTTAATTAAACAGTTATTTTTATAATTTCTCTCTCATTTTAAAAATATTTTCCCTCTTATATATTTTATCTAATAAAATGAAGTTCTCATTGTTAATAACAATAAAGAAATTTTTGTTATAATATTTTTTTTCCTTAAAATACGTCATTTTATCAGTATTTAACAATAATAGTATTTTTTATTCATATTTTTAGTTTTATTTTAAATTCTAAAATAACCGTACAGTAAATTTGTTAGTGATTCATAAAATTCAATACCATATTTTGAAGATATCATTCTGCATCATCACTTACTTCTTTCATTCTTGTAGTAAAATAAAATGAAATAACTGAAGAAAAAAAAAGTTAGACAGGTTTTTGATGTAACTAAGACTAGAATGTTCCTCTTTAACGGGAAATATTAATAGTCACTGCTATCTATTTACGTGAATATTGCAAAAAACAGCTTCAATTACAAATTTTTATGTGATGTTTATAAACTTGCATGTCTCATCGAAAACAATCCAAGGTAATACTTTGACATTGCTTTATCTTTATTTTTAAACTTCTATACGGACAACTCAGTAAAAAAATAAATGCGCAGCCTTTATCAATGTCATGGAACAACAGCCTGCTCATTGCAGATTGCTAATTGCCCCATGCAGAGAGTAACACGACAAAACTTTTATAAAAAATTACAAACATGTTAAATTCAAATTTCAAAACATATAACATATTTTTATTGTTTAGTTTCTTTTTTTAACACCAAATTGTTTAGTTAATCAACGTGAAAATATATTACATGTTTAGCTTATTATCCTGCTATAATTACGGTTATCAGCAAATAATACATGTCCATGATTTCTTTACTTATTTTTAAACATGAATAACATGCAAAAATAATTTAAGATTCTTTTAGCTGCAAAACCTACACACGCATTTGCTTTTTCAAATTCAATTTCATTATAAAATATCGAGCTGATTTATGCGATTATCTTTTTTCTCTTATTTACATTAATCTTAATTGTACATGGATGTTTCAATTTAACCAATGTTTTCAATTTCAAATCCTGTGGGTATAATTGTATATGATTTGTATCAAATACTAAAAAAGGAATTTTATTAACTATAATAATCTTACTCAATTTAAACAAAAATATCTAATAAAAAAAGGCATGTAATCCGAAAGAAAGACAAAACTATTTCCCGCAAAATCTAAATAAAATATCTCACTTTTATTATAAAAGCATTTCCAATTCTATGAGGATGGACAGATAATATTAATTAGAATCTGTTTTTAAACCAACTTACCTCTTTAATAGATATTCTTCTATCCACGCGACCTAAAGATTCTACCCAAAATTAAATCTCAATATGCTTTAAAAATAAAAAATAAAAAAAAGATTAACATACTACACCGAGGTATTATATTATAAAAACATTTTACATATTATTAGGATAGACATAATATAAAGTTTTTTTTTTTTTTTGTGTGTGTGTGTTTGAGCTTTTAATAGATATTTTTCTATTTTTGTGTACATTCGGACTAAGAATTAAGATTGTACCCAAAAATTAATTATTTGATCGCATACTTAAAAAAATATGATTATCTTGCCACATTCAGGTAATGTAAGATTGTTGGATGTTTTTTTGGCCTTCATCCATAGCAAGATCAAAGGTATTTAAACAGGTCCAACATGTTCCTCCTTCACTCAACCTCATTCCCTCTACAATCCATAATCCGTATTCACCTCAGTAGTTATTTCTGTGTAGCCCCTTTTACTCTTCCTTAACATTCTCCTTTCACAACCTCTTTCCAACCAACCACCCTACGTTCCAATAGCCGTTAACCACTTCACATTTATTTTTCCATCAAAATGTTCAAAACCAAACTAGTTAGCCATGCAACAACATCCATTCATCCAACACTGTTTTGTTCCAATTAACCACCACACAACTATAACAATTGCTACCTAAAACCTCTTCACAACTTCCAAATTCCAAATGGGTTGCTGCTTCAGCACCCCTAACACTAAGCAACCCCAAAAGGGCCAAAATGTCCCCAAACACCAACAACAACCACACCTAGGATCTCACGAACAGAACTGCACAATCCCACAACCCATTGAAGAAGAAACAGTGAAAGAGGTCCTCTCGGAAACACCCATCTCCAAACCGCAACAAGTTCCAATTTTGACGCCACAAACGAAGACCCAATTGCCCGTTGTTCAAAATCCGAAGGTGCCCGTTAAGAAAGCGTGTGAATCGGAA